AAAATAGTTGACTCCCTGTTCTTTGTGGCAACCCCTGAGATATTGGAGCACTGCTATCATGTCACCCCTAGTCTTTCTCTTCATTAGACTATACATACCTGGTTCCTGCAACTGTTCATCATATGTTTTAGCCTCCAATTCCCTAATCATCTTTGTTGCTCTTCTCTGCACTCTTTCTAGAGTCTCCACATCTTTTCTACATCATGGCGACCAAAACTGAATGCAGTATTCCAAATCATGTGATCTTCACATGATCTTGGTTCTATCCCCGTGGTGGGTTTCAAACTTTTTTGTTACCGGTTTGGTGGGCGTGGCTAGGTGGGGGATCATGTGACTGAGTGGGCATGGCCAACTTGACATCACTCATGTCCATGCACATTCAGTCACATGACCCCCCAAGCCACACCCACAGAAAAAGGTAGGATTTTTAAAAAATTCCTACCTATATACCGCCCTGCCCTCCTTTCACCCCATTCCCCTCCTTTAGCAGCCCTGGCCCTAGTCCTGCTTCCTCCCCCCACCGCCTCTTTGTTTGGGCTTCTTACCTTCCCATCATGGCTGGTCCAGATTCTGGAAAGCAAGCTGACCTCCGCTAGTTTTTGGTGGCCCCCAGCCAGCCGCTGCTGCTGGGAAGCTGCTGGTAAAGAAGTCTTCCAGCTCAGACTTGCAAAGCAATGGAATGCGTGTGCATGAAGAACAGGGTGGTAACAGCAGCGGCTTTTTGGGCGACCTCTGGTACTTTTCGGTGGCCTGCAGCCAGCCGCCACAGTCACAAAATGGCTCTCAAAGAGGCTTATTTGCCAGCTGCTTCCCAGCAGTTACAGCTGGCTAGGGGCTGCCAAAAACTACTGGAGGTCAGCTTGCCTTCTGGAGTCCTGACCAGCCACCGCAGCAGGAAGGTAAGCAGTGGGAAGGGGGAAGTCGGGCAAGGGCCACTAAAGGAGGGGAAATGGGGCAACATGTGTGATTGGCGAAGGGAGAATGGGTGGTAAGAGAGTGGCAGCTCCAGGGCATGGCCAGAGCTGGGGAATGGTGAATTCCCCAACCCAACTGAGGCGGGTGGCGGCTCAGGCGCAAGGCTAGAGCCGGGGAATAGCACATTCCCCAACTCGGCTGAGGCAGGCGGGGCCTCAGGGAATGGCACGTCCCTAGGGTCCCAGTTCCCAACCCAAGGCAAAGGGTGAGCGGGCGGCATGCTTACTTACTTTTGGTGAGCTGAGCAGAATGGACAAGGCACAGAAATGACTGACGAGGCATGTAGCTCAGCCACATGGCGAAGTGAAGGCAACATATATAGGACTGGGATGGGTGGGGCGAGTGTTGAGCAAGCATTGAGGGGTGGGCGGGTGAGCAAATGTCAAGTGGGCAGGCGGGGCAAGTGAGCGATGACCGGGAAACCAGTTCAGGCACATGGCCAGCCAGCGATCACTACCAATTCCATTGCCCATGCCAAATTTCTGCTACCAGTTCGCACAGACTGGTGTGAACTGGCTGAATATCACCTCTATTCTGTCTCTGTTGATGCAGCCTAGGACTCTGTTGTCTTTCATTTCTTTTTCTGTTTTCCATAAAAAGTCTATAAGAAGTTTCCATCAGTAAATATAGATATTGTTTTTTCTCTAATCAAAGAAATCCATTGGGCCTCTCAGTGAGTTCCATCATCTTCAGCAACCATTCTTTCATTGTAAGTTTTGCCAAATAACAAAAACAAATTCCCATGTATTTTTTCCAATCGTTTGTCCATGAGACACAAAAGAAAGCCCTCCAGTATGATTTGTATCTTAATCTTTGAAATCACCTAAATCAGCATGTTTATTTGAATCCCATATTTTCTAACTTTTTTACATGTCCATCAAGTATGATAAAATGCCCTTTTTTCTTGTTTGCATTTCCAACATGTATTTGAAGTGCTTTTATGTATTCAAGACAATTTCTCTGGTGTCATATCCCTATGGTACATCATATCAAAATCCTCTTTAAGATTATAACATAGTTAAATTTCTGTCCTTTAAACCACATATTCTCCCATTCCATCTTAGGCCACTATGATCTATTCTTTTACTTGTTCTTCTGTTTTAAATATTAATAAATGTTTATACATTTTAGTAATTATATGTTCATCATTTGTATACGATTTTATTTCATACTCCGTCAACTCTTTGGTTTAGATTAGTTTTTTCTAATAACTGTAAATAAAACCATTGGAAACTATGTCCCTCTGCCACCCATTTATTTTGTATACTGCTTGACAAATTTCTAGGATCTTATAATAAGTTAATCATTTGTATTTGCCTATTAATTTTCATCTATAAATGCTTCTTGTGGGGAGAACCACAAAGTTTTTTGGAAATCACAACCTGGATTTGTGCCTATTCAATATTCTCATTAACGCATACTTAACAAATGATTTTTAAAATCTACAACTTTGACAAATACTTATGCCACCCATCTCATGCTCCAGAAGCCTTCTATTTTTTAGCATCACTGACTCTTTCATCCAAACTGAAGTGCAAAATGAAATTTCAATTCAACTACAGCCATCTTCTTTCCGTTGCATCCTGAAACATTTTATATTTAATTTGTGGTTCCATACTACACAATTTTAGATGTATCTTTTTGCCGCTGTTTCAATGGTGCATCATTTAAATTGTCAAAACACATATTGTCTAAAAAAAACCACGATTCTAGGTAGAACATTCATTTTTGTTACATCACAATCTCTCCAGCAATGACAAAGGTAGAGACCTGCCGAGAGAATTGCCAAAAGTTGGACTCGACTTACAATAGAATAGAATAGAATAGAATAGAATAGAATTCTTTATTGGCCAAGTGTGATTGGACACACAAGGAATTTGTCTTTGCTGCATATGCTCTCAGTGTACATAAAGTAAAAATACATTCATCAAGAATAAAAAGATACAACACTTAGTGATACTCAAGGTTACTGATAAGCTATCAAATCATACTAGGAAACAATAAAAACAATATAAATTGAAAGATACAAGCAACATGGTTATAGTCATAAGTGGGGAGAGATAGATACTAGGAAGGAAGAGAAGAAAATAATAGTAATTCATTCTTGGTAAGAATTCAGTGTTGTGGGAATTAATTGTTAAGTAGAGTGATGGCATTCAGGAAAAACTGTCCTTGTGTCTAGTTGTTCTGGTGTGCAGTGCCCTATAATGTCGTTTTGAGGATAGAAGTTGATAATGGATAACATCATCTTCATCCTCCTCCTCAACATATCTTTTAAAACTAATACTATGCTTAACATATTTATTTTAAGTCAATTATGTCATTGTGGTGTCTGATTTTTCTTCATAAATTCTTCATGTTTTTTGTTAACATCTTCATCTTCTGTTTGTTGATCTTAAAACTGGCTAATGCACCAAATTCTTTTAGTTTTCCCATTAATCTTTAAATTCCATTAAAGGATTTGCCAAAACCAACATCAAATCATCTTCAAAACCCTTAACTTTTCAGTCTCTTTTTAATTAAGTCTCTTTATTCCCACAATTCTCTTACCTTGTTTTATATTTGGCTCAGGAATTCTAGAAGTTGAAGTCTGCAAGTCATAAAAGGGCCATCATTCCCCTCCCCTGCTTTAAGTATTTGTTTATATTTTTTATCCAGAGAGATTTCATTTGCTTTATACAAGTTAGAAAAATATTGATGAAATGTTTTTTGCTTGGCCACTCTGTCCTTTAGCACAGTATTTCCCTTTTGTAGTTTCAATGCTATTCCATTTCTTTTTCTTTTAGTAATTTATATGCCAACCATTTCCCTGATTTGTTTGTGAGCTCAAAAAAAAATTGTTTTTCATTTTTGTTCCCATTTCTCTTGCTATTAGCGTAGATAACTGTAATTGTAAAAGCCTGATTTGTTAGGAATTTTTTTTCTCTAAATTTATTTAATTTTCTTTTTATCTCATCCAAAAGAGCTTGCGTTTTCTTTTGCCTCTTCTTTTTGAATTCATTATTATGTTGTAAGAAATGTCCTCTGATAAAAGTTTTACTTCCAGTGAAGGTACTTAAATCAGTATCTTTGTTAAATCATTTTCACAAAATTCTTTAATTTCTCTTTACAGTCCTCTACTATTTTTTCTCCTGAAAAATGTCTGTCCCAAATGTAAATTAGTCTCCATCTAAAAGAATTGGATTTCCTTTTAAAAACCAAACGCACAGGTTTATGATCTGAAAGTCTGCTAATATGTCTACTTTAGAAACCTTATTAGCCAAATTCTTTGAAATCCATATCATATCTATTCTTGAAAAGGACCCGTCTTTCAGAAAAGTAGGTGAATTCTCTTGAATTGCTATGTCTTTTTTGTTTCCATATGTCCACAAGCTAGAATGCTAGAGTAGAATAGAGCTGGAAGGGACCTTGGAAATCTTCTAGTTCAGTTCCTTGCTCAAGTAGGAGACCCTAACCATTTCAGACAAGTGACTGTCCAGACTCTTCTTACAAACCTCGAGCAATTAAGAACCCACAATTTCTGAAGGCAAGCTGTTCCACTGGTTAATTGTCCTCACTATTAGGAAGTTTCTCCTTAATTCCAGGTTGCTTTTCTCCTTGATTAGTTTCCATCCATTGTTTCTTGTCCTGCCTCTCGTGCTTTGGAAAATAAGTTGACCCCCTCCTCTTTGTGGCAGCCACTCAAATACTGGAATACTGCTATCATGTCACCCCTAGTCCTCCTTTTCTCTAGACTAGCCAACTCCAAATCCAGCAACTGTTCTTCATATGTTTTAGTCTTCTGGCCTTTAATCATCTTAGTTGATCTTCTCTACATGTTTTCCAAAGTCTCAACATCTTTTTGGTAGTATGGTAGTATGGTGACCAGAACTGGATGCAATATTCCAGGTGTCTTACTAAGGTTTTATAAAGTGGTACTAATACGTCCCATGTTTTTGATTCTATGCCTCTGTTTATACAACCAAGGATTGTATTAGCTTTTTTGGCTGTTGCCGCACATTGCTGGCTCATATTTAAATGATCATCCACTAGGACGCCAAGGTCCCTCTCACAGTTACTGTTTTTGAGTCAGGTTTCACCTAATCTCTAGTTATACCTTTGTTTTTTCCTGCCTAAATGTAAAACTTGTCTTTTTTTTACATGAAAATTCATTTTGTCAGATAGGGCCCATTGTTCCTTTTGGATCCTGAGCTTGTTTTCTGGGGTGTTGGCTATTCTTGCCAGCTTAGTGTCATCTGCAAATTTGACGAGTTCCCCTTCTAAACCCTCATCTGAGTCATTTATGAAGAAATTAAAGAGTACTGGGCCTAAGACAGAACTTGTGGTACCCCACTGCTTACTTTCCTCAGTGTAGATGTAGTACCATTAAGAACTACTCGTTGAGTACAGTTTGTCAGCCAGTTACAAATCCATCTGGTGGTGATGCTGTCTATTCAATATATTTTTCTAGCTTACTAAGGAGTAGGTTGTGGTTTACTTTGTCGAATGCCTTACTGAAATCTTGGTATACTATGTCCATAGCATTTTGCTGGTCTATTACGTTAGCCTAAATTATCCATCAAATCAGATACAACTTTTAGCAATTTGTCTTGAGTTTCCAAGCTCCCTTTCTTGAAGAAGGTAGGTGAGAAGATGGCTGCACTGCAGCTTCAGAGGTCCCAGAAGAAACCAATTATTTAGACCTTTTCTGGTCAGGATTCAGGCCAGGACATAGTAGGGTAACTTTATTGTTTACCCTTGTTCATATCTCTGGAAGAAAGAAATTGAAATGACCCCTACCCTGATCTTGACCCTGAAGCCCTGGCTCTGCCCCAGGCTTTGAACTACGGTGCGTGAAGGATTTCTTTGGATTGATGCAAGATTGATTGTGGGCTGTTTCTCCCAGGAGAACCACAGATCTCTCCTTGATCTCTTTTTTTTAATATACTGCCTTATTGTTGTTTGTCACCCAGAATTTTCAAAATTGGGCAACCTAATTAGTGTGATTAATAAATAAATACTTCTGAGGTTTTATTTGAAATGCTGCAGGAGTGTCTTGTCAGGTGACAAATCTAGGTATAATCCACCATGACTATTCTGTCCTCTCCACTCCTGTTAATACCATTGGCTCCAAGGCTGTGACTTCTGTGCCCACTGGTTCATTAGTTTGGTGAATACGAGGGCCATTACTTTCTCTGTGATAACCAGAGGTGGTATTCAGCCAGTTCTCTTCAATTCGGGTGAACTGGTAGCAGCAGCTGTGGGAGGCTCTGCCCACCCGTCCTGACGTAATGTGTGAGCATTGTGCATGCACAGAAGCGGGGGCGTGTGAGCACTCACATTTGCAAACCATTGGAAAGGTAAGTGAATCCCACTGCTGGTGGTAACCCTCTAGATTTGTTAGATTTTGTTGCAGATCTCTAGGAAAATATAAGACATTGTTTAAATGGTCTGTTCCTGAGTTACTTCCATTTGTGTATTCTATTCTCAAGAATGTCATTGTTGGCTCAGTTCTTGTTAGTGATTTTAATATTTTACATAGATTTGGGCCAACCCCCAGTTCTGTTTGTAGAACAGTCATAATGTGACATAAACAAATTGAAATGTGCCTATTTTGTGCTTGAATGCACTCCGATGCCCATAATCCACATTTCTTCCTCTTTCCACAGTGCTGGGATTGGTCGCACTGGGACCATCATTGTCATTGATATGACTGTGGATATGATTTCCACCAAAGGTGAGACCAGTTTGGGTATCTGACCTTGCATTGGCTGAAGCTTCCATTCTTGCTTCCCACTAATTACCTTTGAGATACTATATAAAAAGGGGAGGAAACACCATACAGGGGTAGCCAAGGATCACTTAAGTCTGTCTGTCTGTCTGTCTGTCTCTCTCTCTCTCTCTTCTCTCTTCTCTCTCTTCTTTGTCTGCTCTCTCTTTTTTCTCCCTCCCCTCTCTCTCCTCTCTCTTTTCTTTCCTTTCTCTCTTCTTTCTTCTCTCTCTCTTCTTTTTCTCTTCTCTCTCTCACTCTCACTGGGAGATATAGCGGGGAAAAAGGTTGGCAGAGCACATTAGGGTGAAGTAGAGAAAGACCCTTAATTAGCCATGACAGGAAAGTTGCTACATCTATCTTCCTGGTGATCATCATTTCTAGGCATTTATAGAGCCAAGCACTGCATGTGAAGAGATCCATTGAAACTTAAATCCTGATCAAGTAAATATTTAATATATCAAGGTTTAAATTCTACAGACTTTAAGGAGGCTACTATAGGTATCTTTAATCCTGTTTACATCTGGTAATGAACATAAACAGGTCATTTTTGCAAGTATAACAGTGGGATTTAAAATTGCTTAAATGTTGCTGGATTGTTGTTATGACTTAATTAATAATTAAATCTTTTATTAAGTAAATTCACCCTTTCATAGTTAGTCGTTCACAAATTACCTTAAATGCTACAGAAAAAAGCCTAGAAATTCTGCACACGTGTACTTCATCTGAAGGAACAACTTTAGTGCTTCTGTGTAAATATTTTATTTATTTATTAGATTTTTATTCCATCTTTATTACTTCATAAGCAGTGGTGGGTTTCAATTTATTTTACTACCAGTTCGCTTGTGAGTGCGCACGCTTCTGCGCAGAAGCGTCTGGGCGGGTGGGCGGAACCTCCCACTGCCACCAGTACCGGTTCACCCGGTCCGAGGTGAACTGGCAGAAACCCACCTCTGTTTATAAGTAACTCAAGGTGGTGAACATAGCTAATACTTCCTCCTATTTTCTCCACGACAACTTTGTGAAGCAGGAGTGTGAGTGACTGGCCCCAAATCATCCGGCCGGTTTTCATGTCTAAGGTGGTGCTAGAAAGAGGCCAGAATGGATCCTCCGATCCAGATGGAGTATTTACGCTCAAGTGGGGCAATGATCTTGATTTTCATTGTGCTGGGTGCCAGCGCCGTGATTTTCTTCTGCATCCGGTCGGCGATGCCAGGGTACATGGTGGTGCCACCAGAGAGGACGGTGTTGGCATACAAATCCTTACGGATAGCAACATTACACTTCATGATGGAGTTGAAGGTGGTTTCATGGATGCCACAGGATTCCATGCCCAAGAAAGATGGCTGGAAGAGCGCTTCTGGGCACCTGAACCGCTCGTTGCCGATGGTGATGACCTGTCCATCGGGCAGCTCGTAGCTCTTCTCCAGGGAGGAGCTGGACGCGGCGGTGGCCATCTCCTGCTCAAAGTCCAGAGCCTAGGTGGCACAGTGGTTAGAGTGCAGTACTGCAGGCCACTTCAGCTGACTGATATCTGCAGTTCAGCAGTTCAAATCTCACCGGCTCAAGGTTGACTCAGCCTTCCATCCTTCCGAGGTTGGTGAAATGAGGACCCAGACTGTGGGG